AACGATGCTAAAGTTGAATCGGCATCCCATCTCTGTCGGGATAACGCATGTGTCATCGCTCAATTCACGGTAGTCAAGGACTCATGGGACAGGTTTACCGTTTAATTGAACATTAGTGCCTTTGTTACGCCAACAGATGTGCTTAGCAATTATTTCGTGCATACTTCAGATAACTGCAGGCATGAGGAATGTGTATATAATAATTATGGGTAGGACATGGGAGCCTACGCTGGTACAACCCATTTTCAGGCAACTGGCAAACTAAATATTCAATTTGCAATATCGAGAATAAAATCTCTTTACAAGTTTTCCGAGGGGCGGCTCCAAATGTTTGTAAGCAGCACTAAGGCATACCAAACAACAATCTTGCAAAGGTAACAACGTTTCTGCAGCCTGTAGCTATGCCACAAACTCGCAATCTCATTTTCTGACGCACTCGCTGCAACGAAAACATCAGCAGATTCTGCGCGCTGGGGTTGTGATCCACTTGCCTTGCCGACAACCCTCCCTCCCTCAGCTGCTCTTCCTCGTCCCCCCCCCCCCGGCTGACCACCGGCCTTGGCGGACGCATGTGGCACGTGCAGCGGTGCCTGGCCGCGGCGGAGGCGAGGTGCGCGCGGCGGTGACAAGAAACGGCGCAGAGCGGCGCGCCGCGGCCACGGCGGCCTTGACGCCGTCGGCTGGCGTTCGGGTCACGAGAAGCGGTCACACGGCATTTCCGGTGGTGACGAGACGATCGCAGTGGTTGGCTTCATCGTTTCAATATTGAAATTCCCAATGTGCCTCCTACAGTTTAGACCTCAGTTCAATAATCGAACCAAGATTTGTAATTATCTCACAGCTGACTTTTTGTCATTAAGTTTTCTGACTATTTATTCGTAAACGATCGATCGCGACTGATCGCATGCGGTTGAAGCTGTCAACTGCCTCGAGACATTTGTGTACATTTGGTAAGTCCCAAGGAAGGAAAGGAATCGTTTCTCCCAACAATTATTATCCAGCTGCCCTCAAACTCACGTATATAATATACAGAAACACTAAAGCTGGGCTCTCAAACCAGTAGCGATCATCTGCAGGGTAAACGGGGTCAGCTCGAGAGAAAGGCGTCAGCGTCTCTCGCAGATTATTCCTTCTGCTCGGGGTCGACCGGCGGGTGCCTTCTCTTGCTATTCCCGGTAAGTGAGAGGAAATTCACAGATGAGCTCCCAACTGAGTGGATCGGGCGTCCGAAGGCCAGCAAGGCATGGGGTGGACTGCTCAGAAGCACTAAGCGATTGCTACTGGCTGCGTATGGAGGGCTTAACTCAGCCGACTTATGTCTGTCCGGCTAAATGGCTTATGTCTAATGTTTGACTAAATGACTAAGGCGCGTCCGGTTGGGCTGCTCGCAAATAGACACCAGATAGGTGTACACTGTACATTCTTGTGATTATAAATGTACAAGCATGCTAACTGTGTTGATCGGCTCTATGAAAAACTTGCCACCCTTGCAAAACATGCAAAACTTATCAATAAAAAGCTGGCAGAACAAGCTGCAACATTTAAAATAGTTAATAAGTAATATTACATATTTTGTTCATACCCTTCCATACAAATCCGAAAATCGGTGGGAGCGTCAGCCGGATGACCGCAGCTCCTGATCCCACAACACACGTTAAATGTCACGGCAACCGAACGATTGCGCGACCGGTTGCATGACCTCGGTATCACGCGTGTTAGCCGTGTGTGCCCCATCTAGCATCTTATCCCAACATTTTGGTCAAAAATTATGCCTGGTTTATACAACCTTGGTGAGCCTCTGTATTGTATGATACACTGATAAACAAACGTGACTCTCGGGCATAACAGGCGATTGGCAAAAGGTCACGGAAGTGGCGCAAAGAGGAAAGGAGAAGAACCCTGACCGCGGTGGCATTTCTAAGCTTCAAATAAACAATACTGAGAAATATATATGTAGCATTTCGGTACTTCTCATATTACCATTTGCCACGGTAATGAATCAATAGCATTTAACAGCATTAGAACATCCACATCTTCGATCATGGGAAAAAACTGTTCACTGGCGGATCCAGGGGGGGGGGGAGGGCACTTGTGCATGGGCGGCGCCACCGGGGGGGACGGGGGGGACAGGTCCCCCGCTATCGAAAGTTAGGGGGGTACAGTACCCCCCTATCGGCGAGGCCCGTTCAATAGTTGATAATAATGCATTGTAAAGTTATCCGTCGCATTTAATGCATCGTTGGTTAATCAAGGCAGGTTCTGAATAAAGATTGCTGTTGGGATGTATCGCAGGGGGTCCTGGCCATCTGCAAAAGGTGTGGAGCTGTGATGCCTATAAGGTGATCGGCAGGGCCTCGGGGATCGTGCCCCCCTTTTTTGGGGCGCCAGGCAGGGTTATTACCTCCCCACCCCACTGCCAGACCCCATTGCCGACAAAACCAAGTTAACTGAAATTCCATAGATTTCCGTTACTATATGGATATTTTCCATTCCTAATTAGTCAAATTCAAGCATGGCAGTTCTACCACAGGAACCATTTCAAATCTATGCCATTTAACCCCAGCACTTGTGGGGAGAAGTGTTCGGATAGATCATAGGCAGGACCAAAAAAGCACGCAGTAGCCCAAGACCTTATAATTGGGTAGCATCGGCTCCCTCTCGTCAAGGGGTTCGATAGCACTCGTTTTTTTTTTTCTGCAAAACTAAGTTCGGTCGGCGGCCGAACGGCTGGGGGTCTAATCGAGCCCCCTCCCCTTCTTACGTCAGCGGCTGTGAAAATGCCATTACCAGCTGTTGAAACATGGCAGTTGCTTTTGCATGAGTGCACGAAAGTGTTTTAGGTACGTGATACGTGAAAGGTTCTACATGGAAACTGAGATACACCAGCTTATCAAATTGTGCTCACTGTGGTACGCTCGGTTTTACCTTGACTAGTCTTTGAATTCTGGGGTGAAACAGACCAGTCAAGAAACCTGTTCCATAAGGAGAGCCACTAATGCTAAAGTCTAAAGAGATGAGGGATGAGGTTTCCAGAGACCTTCATTACCTCCCAAAGGGGGTGCCCCGCCATTTGCCAATCCCCATGCTGTGTTGTTACGATTGGAGGGTGAATATGAGAACGATGCAGGTCGTGCCAGCTCGATCATGACGAACACAATGGTGCCGACATCACAGCTCTACTGCCATTTTTGACGAAGTTAATCAACAAGGACCGGAATCCTACCCTGGGGCATTTCACCTGCAGAGGCCGCCGGACCTGAGACCCTTTCACTCAATTTTTTTTCAACGGTGCATGCGGCATGCGCTCGTTTTTCCCGCGAAGCTCTTGGTAAGTAAAATCCATAAGAAAGTGTGATCAAATAACGGCTGGTGACCTTCCATGACCTAGCATGACCTTTTGAGTGACCACCAATGACATGACCACTGACGGCTAGCCATTAGCTGCACCCTGCCCGTTGCATATGGATCAGGTGGTGATGTCATGATTCTGAAAGTATATTGCAGTTTTGGCGCACTTGTCAGAGCAGAAGACATTCCCACTTTTCCTCCATGACTATATGGGGGTGAAGCCATGAAGCTGACCAGACGTAAGATCGAAAATTTGAAAGTACGAAACGTAAGAATAGTTGGCACTGCTACTCGACACTGACCGACCGGTCGCGAACTTCCCGCCTCCGGATTTCCAGCCGGACACCCAGTTCACTCGGCCACGCGGCCAGTATCCCTAAGCAATTCGCAGCTTGTAGGAAACCAGCTTTGAGTTGGCAAGACTGCAAATTTTGATTTAGAGGCAAGGATGCTTGAAAAGGTGATCGATCTTAGGTGTCCTAGGATAAGTTTGGAAACGGGATGCACCATTCGATGTGTTTTGGGCTTTGCCAAGTTTCGCGGCGTTACGTGCCTCGTTTTTTTTTTTTTTTTGCATACACGATCAGTATCTACTTTTGGGATTTTCGGACAGCTACAGTCCCCGTCCCCCCCTATCGAAAACCCGTGGCGCCGCCCCTGCACTTGTGACATTCGTCCCTCCCGCACCGTCCAAAATTGACAAATTTTATCGTTACCCGCGCATAGAGGAAACAATTTTTACTAGAATCACATTAAATTTAATCTGCACAGCAACTCCCAAAAGCCATGAAAATAATTCCCTCCTTATGATTCTCCTACGCCATATGTGACCCGAAAAGTACCGAAATAAAACTGATTTTGATGTAACGCTCAATGTTTTTCAACTTCTATAATCGTTTGATACGGACACCAATAACGATAAAGATAAGACTTATTTCCTCTGCATACATCGGACTATTGGTCGCGTTAGGCTGATATCAATAAGACGTTAATCGGAATCAGGTACTTTCTTTCGTTGCTGATACTGCAAATAGCCGGTTCTTCCTATTTCAGGGAATTCATTGACGGTTGATGCCGCAAGTACCTTGATGTCGATGTTCTCAGCGATGAGAAATCGGCAATGATTTCTTACAAATAGCTCGTCTCTTGTGCACTAAAGGATGGGTTGAGCATTTATGGTTCTTAAATACAGCTATAGTTGAGGGGCCCAGCCTGTTTGGGACTTTCACTAATTCTGCTGCTATGCTATATCTGCAAGTCTTACATGAGGTATTTATGTTATCTACTTCGTCTGTTTTGGTCGCCTGCCAAAAATTGGCATTGGAGAATGGTTTTACGCCATTTAAACGTACAGACATCATTATCGTATTACCGTATGCAAACATTGCGTTGAAATGCCAGCATATAGACTTGGCCTTTTTTGATTTGATACGTTATACGATACGTATATAGCGAAGTCTGTGGTTGAGCATAATTAATATAGAGAATTGCTAAATGCCCTCACTTTTACTTCTTGAGCGGCTTAAGTGGACGTTTGTGATGTTTGACTTCGCTGGTGATCAGTTGTCATGATTTTCCAAAAATCTCCAAGCTCAATCGTTCAAATGTGCACAGTGCACACACCATGCACCATTGAATCCAAAACCAACGCATTAAAACTGCAATGAATTGTGTATTAACAAATTGGCGAGTCGCCCCTCACGGGGCACATGGGTCGATGATCGGCGAAGGGTGGTTGTTCAGCGGCCTCTCTCGGTCTATTCGAACTGCTGGGGCGCGGAGGCGTACGCGGCCGCCTGTGCCTCGGCGTTGGGGTCGACGGGCGCCACCGGGATGGCATCACCCTGAGGCTGGAAGCCCTTCTCGTCGGCCACCCAGTTGATGGTGATGTCGACGGGGTTGCCGTTCTCGTCGGGGGCAGTGAAGCTGTAGGAACCGCGCTGCACGGTGCCGGCCTCCTCGCCGATCTGCTTCAGCTCGCCGCTGACGTCCTGCGCGGCCGGGTCGGCCGTCTCGTAGGCGTACTGGAAGGTCCGGCCGTCATCCGACTGCGACGAGGTCATACGCAGGATGCCGAAGTCGGCGAGAGTCTTCTCGACGACCTCCTGGGGCCGGGCGGCGGCCACGGCCACCAGGGCGAGAGCGACCACCTGTCCAACAGAGGGCGAGGGGTCAGGTCAGAGGAAGGGGTCAGGTCTAAGGGGAGGGGTTTAGAGGATGGTCTGGGTGATAGCATGGGTTATTCTGGAGATCAGCTGAGAGAGTGGCCCATTAGCTTCTGACAAATAATGACAAATGCTTTGTCTTTTTTTGGGATATAAATAAAAAAACAAATGAAATTTGACTTATCACCGATACACGAGAGCCGCTAACATGGCATAAACGCGAAAAGATATTTAGCACGATATCTATTGGGAAGCCTGCCGTTTTTAGGCATTGAACAGTTTTGCAAAAAATAGCGTCTCTTCAAAATTAATTCGAACCCTTACACGAAACTTATAGACAAATGACGGCTTTAAAATTTGTGGTTTGCCGTTTCCATCCCAAGGTGGTGGGTGGCTCAGCGAAACTGCTTTCTTTTCCAATGCACTAAAAGCGATCAAGCAAAAAATATTACGAGAAATGGAATCACTATGCTTCTCTGTCTTTTTGGTCCTCTCCTGCGGTCTTCTCCAATGCACTAAAAGCGATCAAGCGAAAAGTATCACGAGAAATGGAATCACTGTGCTTCTCTGTCTTTATCAAGAGTGAATTGCTTAAATTTGCGTGACATCTCTTCGATCAAATATTTGTTACGATAGGCGGTTTGAAGTCACCTGAACGTAACGCAAACAGCTTTCTGCAGCTCTGCACTCAGTGCCGGCCGGTGTACTCACGTATTTCATGTTGAGTGTGTTGGTGGGCGAGGATCACTGGAATGATGTCTGCTGCTGTCCGCCGGCCGCCTTTATACCTGTCCGGTGGCTGCCACGGGGGCGGACAGGTGACGGTGGGGGAGGGGGGGGGGGACAAGGCCGCCGGCCAGTCGCGGGAGCCATCTTCACCCCGCGGCCAGTCCCGGCTTGGCAACACTGCCCAAACGTCTGGCAACACTGCACGGTAGCCAGCTGCAGCTCCGGAAGCCAGCCGCAGTGTTTCGAAGCAAACTCTCAGGCTGCCGCCTTTGCGTGAGATGAGCTGGTGGCGGCCCACCTGGGCACATTAATGAGCGAATGACACTCGACAGGAATTTACGAGGCGACGTAAATGATGTATGAGTGTGCTCGTGTGGAGTGGCGTATTGATGGAAATATAGAATGGGGATAAGGAAATGTCCATGGTTAAACCCTCGCCGGACCTATTGGTTTTCTACATACGCGCCGGCCGAGGGGGGGGGGGGGGGGCGGGTACGACCCCCTCGCCGTTTCGCCCCTGGTGGAGCTAGCGCGTCGCGGAAAAACGAGCGTGTGCGCCGTTACGAGACGCAGAGATTGGTACCCGATTTTAAGGTCCTAGGTCAACCGGTGGCCGCTGAGGTCAGGTCAAGTGCCCTAAGGTACGGTTTAGTTTTTGGTGAATACCTTCGCAAAAAACGGCCGCAGAGCCGCGATTTTGGCAGCATCGTGTTTGCCTCGCTCAGGCGCGTCGAATGATATACTTTTTGTTTGGGTCAGGGGTCAACTTAGGGTGTTGACCTCAGGTCACGGTCAGGTCAGCGCCCCCAGGTCACGAAGCTGGTTGAAAGAAGTCATGTCGCATATCATTCGATTTGGCAGGTCTTCCGGAGTCCATTGGCTGCTTTCCCGACTCGCTAGCTCAAACTGATCGGGATTTAGGTATTGACGAAAAACTAATATGACCCTAATGACGTCATAAATGACGTCCCGCAAGGTCAACATTGCAAAAGTGACGCATCTTACCTTGCAAGGAGTGCATCAAATCACGATTCTGTGTGCTTGAGGCAGTTGGAGGTCGTTCCCGGCGCCAGAATAGCAGTTTTCATTTTTTCCCCATTGACTTATAATGGTGAGGTCACGAAAATGACCTGACCTCATATGACCTTTAGGAAAAATCCGAGATATACAAGTTATGAGACTCGTAATGGATACTACATAGATCCTGCCAGTTTCATTTCCCTGTGAAAGCTCCTCTGGCAGTGAGGGCGTTGCGAAGTTGCGACATCTGAAGACCGTGCAGAGGTTCACTTATGACGTCATAGGTCAGTGACCTGACCTGACCTGAAAATGCGGTTGGTGTCAAAAGATCTAGCTTGAATCAAAGGTCAGGTATGCCAAGTTCTAGCTCTCTATCGCCAGCGTGTTCGGAGCTATCGCGAAAAAAAACCTATGGGGGGGGGGGGTGGCACCCGCCCCGTGCCGCCCCCTCGGCCGGCGAGGGTTAATTCACAATGCATAGGAAGCCGAGTTGCGTTCAATCGGATCATAGACATTCATTCGGTATTCAACGAAGTAAAGTATTCGGATACCTACTTGACTTCGTTGCGGGACCGGACACAGCAGAAAAAGGACAAAACGCTTAGCCAAATTAAAAACCTCCTATTTCTCTTTCTCATTGCCTTTCTATGATTCTATTGATGCTCTTTGTTGCATATTCATTAGTTAATTTCTACGTGAGAAAAATGACAAATTCGAATGAGTTTCGGACGTTGCTGGGTCCTAGGGGTGACCCAAATGCCTCACCGGCTTCGCCATCTGAAAAGTGAAGAAGAGTGGATTACGATCGCGAAGAATGGGAGAATTGATGAAGCGCTTGAATAGTGTGGCTCTTATTAGTCCACACTGTTGAGGAAAAATATTTACTTTTGAGAGTCACTGCTGAACAGTCGATCCTTTCAACACATGCTTATTGATTTACAGCCGGCACTTTCAGCACATTTGTTTCAATGCTAGACTAGGTACCGATCCATCTAGCATACTTATCAGTACTGAGCAATTGATCCCTTCAGAATAAGGGTACTTATTTGGTCATTGCTAAGCTCCTGATCCCTTCAGCACATATTTGTCAGAGCTAAGCCGCCAGCCACACAGCAAACATTTCTCTGTGCTTACTAATGAGCAACTGGTAGTGAGCGCCGGACGGGCTGATTTGCGTTCAGCGTCAGTCACCAACCCGGCCTTCTCATACCTGAACCTAAGCCTGCAGCTCTCGGCTCCGTGTTTGGCTTGAGTGCCTACCTATACCTTCAATGGATGCATGGAAGCATTTTTGGCATTATGATCGCAGACTTTTCACTACCAGTGATCTATCGCTGCATGCAGAACAGTAGTTCGTCTGGCTCGTCGCGCCCTGTGCCCGCCGATAAGAAATATGTAGTGGTGCCTGCTTCAGAAAATGTATGTCCAATGTCCGTCCAATGTCCTTCCAATGTCCGTCCAAAGCATCCAATATCTTCGTCGACTGTTCGTCCAAAAATGTCCAAGCAGTCATTTGTCCAAAGATGTCCGAAAACTTCGCACTAATTTACACTCAACACTGTAACTGTTATTCAATTTTGCTTTCAATGTACCTTATTGCCAGCCCAGAAGTGTTTACCGTATCGAGAGAGCTGAGTTTTCTATTCCTATTCGCCAACCAATGCTATACGCGATTGCTTTATAAAATTGCTGCGGTGTAGACTGTAGCAAGTGATCGTCCAATGCTGTTCAAAGCCTGGCTGCCTTTGTGCGACCAAGGCAGCAATTCCGAACATGGGACAAAATCTGAATTCCGAAGGCCTAACTTCCGATTGGTTCCACTAATAAGAACTCCTGCCCTGCTCCCAGTACCAGACATGGTGTCAGGCGGGCCACGTACTCTGCCACCCTTCCTGGTCAGTCGGTGGGCCCAGGGTCAGATCTTACCAGATCTATCCAACACCCTGCTCAAGCCCAAATCAGACGACGCATTGCAGAGTTTAGACTAAAGCGGATTGGTATGCGAAATGAGCTCCGTTCACGTGAACAGAAGCTGATGCGCAGTTCTCAGAAGCTATTCGGCCTGTCGTTACGCAACCTCGATGACATCATTCTAAAGTTATCAAGTGATTATTTTAAGACGTTGAAGTTATTCTGCCTGAATGTAAGGAGTCATCAGTGGTCATATCTTGAAAATGTCGTCTTGTCCATTTCCCTTTGCAGGAAGCGGATTTCATGAATTGCATGGAATTGCATGAAGTTAAAATAACAATTTCATATAGATTACATGAATTGCACGTTTCAACGCGTTTGGTACCTACTTAATTTGTTTTCAGGGAAAAGCCTATTCAAATTTCCTGTCACTTTCGGAACCGTCTAAACCAACGTCTACACCAATAGTTCTTGGCTCCTTCCGGCGGAAACCCTATCAGCTCACCTCCCCATGTAAATTGACATAAACGACCTCGTTTTCCCTGTGGTGTTCTGCTGGGACTTGGGACTGCAATCCGCCACAGGCCACAGCCACAGCAAGCCAACTGTCGCGTCGGGAAGAAGCGCTCTGATGTCGGCAGCGGAGAGAGGTGTCGAGCTGGGCACCGCAAACAGCTGGTCACCGCCAGGATAGCGACGACCGCGGGGGATGGAATGACCGCAGAGGTAACGATGACCTCAGTGACCTTCAGCCGGTGTGAGTGCGGTGGCTTTTTCACCGCTCTTGAGACCTCAGCTCTGCGGGCCGACGATTCACTGGGGGGGGGGGGGGACAGGGATGAGACGGAAATAGGCCACTAACCACTAATCAAGGCTATACCCACCTGCCTTTAGCCATCTACCTCTGTGTGAGCGTATTGATCATGACGAGAGGAATCTGATGGTGTACTTACAATTTTATGGCCCTTCCTTACCCATTCGTTGACCTTCTAAAACAGGTAACGCCAATCCCAAAACCGAGGAGCTAAAACATGGGATGAGGTTTTTCGATATTCAGTATTTCCAAATTCGAATTTCGCTTTTATTTGTTGAAAAGTGATGCATTTGCGACATTTGAGGTAGGTAAATCAGGTCCGGCCAGGCCAACCATCAGGCGTGGAGCAGGCCAATCATATATTTACCACCACTGACGATTTTGTCACATGAGGCATGGGCTCAAAAACCTATTCCCAGCGCTCAAATGAATGCCACCTCGAAATAAGCCCTAAAAACTATATTGAAAAACTGAAAAACAAGAAGAAACAACCAAGGTCAACAAAGGTCAAAGACCTTTACCTGACTTTCATGTCACCTTGACACTCACAATGACCCATCGGACAAGAAACACTTCACATTTTGGCACGTTTCTAATGCAAACTTTAAATGCGCATTCATTAGCAAAGTATCAGTGAAATCGCTGCGCCTGTGTGTTTCCATAACGTGCTACAACGCTGAGGTCGTCTTATGCATACCGTGTGTCACTTGCATCTGCCGGTATGCACCCTACAGTCACATGCGAGGCTCCAATGTCACGTCACTCACACGCATAGACAGACGTCTGAGATTGACATGGCATGTCTGTTCGGCTGTTTACGCTGACATTGCATGGCAGCTTCATTGTGGGCGAGTTACCTTGAGAGCAAAAACAGCACTCGGCTCAGAGCTGACCTCTGTCGGTTTAGCAGCCTCTATCGGTCGATCACGGGCTCCTTTTCAATGGTGTGATTTCAGCAGTTCAGATGTGAGTACGTCAATAGAATTAGATACGTATATAAATGTGGGCGAAAAGAGTGGCGATGAAACAGAAGTACTTAAAGAAAGAGTGTTGCCAGAATGAAACAATGCGCTCAATAGCAAAGCAATTTTTTAGCAAGGCATGGTAAACAAAACCAAAATTATTTGCTTTTGTTTACCATGCTTTACTAAAAGCTCGTTCTCTCAGTGTTCATTGTTCTGATTAGTGCATGTATCATACCGGATGTAGGGTCGCACTAAGTCACCTAAGTCCTCTGACTGGCCAAACAGCTGAGTTATTTGACTTATCTGGGAATCATTCAAATGGCATACTGGAAA